GAGTTTTTTTTTCTTCAGTAAATGATTTTACATGGCATTGGGTTTCTCCGTAGTATTGTGTAATAAGGTTCTTTGGAAATTTACAGCTTTCACCTCGATAAATGATTAAAAGATATCGGAGTCATTCTAAAAAAAGTAAGTTTGGCCTAAAGTGAGAATATTTTCCTGAGATTTCCCTTGGTAAATAAATGGTGCATACCTGTGTCCTAAAGGTGCAAGGTGCTTTTACAGGTGGCAACTACAGCAACATTATTTGGAATTTGTGAAAATAAGCTGCTTTTAACTTTGATATATGTATAATATTGAAGCCTTTGGGACATGCTGTGGAAACGTAGAAGACAGAATACTTGCTGAGGGCAAGCTCCGTTCTTTGGGAAGGATTGTTTCCACAGACCTTTGAAAAATGTGTGTAGACTTTGAGCTTACTGGGCTGTTTCCTCCTTCCCTAAAAAATTGAATGAGGGGAAATTATGTTGCAGCGATACTTTTATTTTTCCTTTTTTTACCTTTCGGTACAACTTTGGAATCTGTCATCAGAGAAGCATGTGTGCTTGGTGTAACCCTGGTGTCCAAACAAAACGGATCTGTGCAAAGGGATAGAATGAGGTCTCGGTGCTGGTGCAATCTGAAATCCTGTAAAAATCCTGTTTATGATTCCTGGTTGCTTCTGTAAGGTCATAGTTTTCAGTATTATTTGTGGGGGTTAATGTAGGAGGTTTTTGGTGCCCTTCAGGTCTAGTATTTTAAAATACGACAAGATCTGCCTATAGACGTAATAGTGAGACAACAGAACTAAATCATGATTTAATTGCATCACATTGGTGTAACGTACTCTTAGTACAGATCTGTTGGGCAGTTCCCTCTTGTTTTTGGACCTAAGGTTGGTGCATCTACATGGCGATGCCTGGTGCAGACTTACCAGGCTGGGTTGGCCCAGGCTTGGGAAACTTGGGGAATTTTCAGGTACGCTGAAAAAACCTGTGTCGATAATTTGGGCTGGACTGGTCATTATTTTTGAGAGTGCTGCACTGGAACAGAGTATCAAACAGTGTGGTATTAGAAACATCTGATCTTGGACTCCTTCTTTTGAGAGGACAGATAGTGGTATGGATGATAACTTGGGTGTGCTGTATCCAGTGTCTGACTACCATTCCTAATTCTGCTTGACATGAGCTATGGAACTTCTGTTCTCACAGAATCACAGAATGGTTTGGGTTGGAAAGACCTTCAAAGATCATCTCGTCCATGGGCAGGGACATCTTTCACTAGATCAGGTTGCTCAAAGCCCCCGTCCAACCTGACCTTGAACACTTCCAATGATGGGGCATCCACAGCTTCTCCGGGCAACCTGTTGCAGTGTCTCACTGCCCTATACGTAAAGAATTTTCTCCTTGTGTCCAATCTAAATCTACCCTCTTTTAGTTTAAAACTGTTGCCCCTTGTTCTGTCACTACAGGCCCTGGGAAAAAGTCTCTCTCCATCTTTCTTACAGGCCCCCTTCAAGTATTGCAATAAGGTGTCCCTGGAGCCTTCTCTTCTCCAGGCTGAACGACCCCAACTCTCTCAGCTCTTTTTCATAGCAGAGGTACTCCAGCCCCTTACCATTTTCGTGGCCCTCCTCTGGACCCGCTCTAACAGGTCCATGTCGTTCCTGTGCTGGGGACCCCAGAGCTGGACATGGTACTCCAGGTGTAGAGTCTCACCAGAGCAGAGTAGAGGGGCAGAATCACCTCCCTTGACCTGCTGGCCACGCTGCTTTTGATGCAGCTCAGGATAGAGATCACTTGTCTTACAGATTAGTGAAAGTAGTTGCCTGTTCCCATAGCTGTCGGTAACAGTGGGCTGGAGTTACACCGGCTGATGAAAATGGACCAGGAACATGTGTGCTCCATAGATGCAGAGCTTTCATAAATAGGACAGACCCTCACCTAGCTAATGTGAGGGTTTTGCCCTCAAAATTTTTCAGTTGAAATTGATTTTAAAATATGATATAGTTGAGACTCTAGGGACATCAAAATGGGGGAGAGGGGGTTTATATGTTTTTTGTGCATGAAGCTGCCTGGGTTACTTCTCCCACTCACGTGGTCAGCATTTGGGAGTTTAGAAGGCTCAATCTACATGAGCCATTTCAGCAAAACCAAAGAAGGCAAAGTGTGACTTTCTCTATAGCTGGAAGTTGTGTAAAGTGTTTTAAATATATATCTTAAGATTTTGGGCTTTAAGAGGTAATCAGTTTATTATCAGACTTGTATTGTCTGACAATTATCTGACTTGTATTGTGAGGCCTTGCCTCCAGTACGGTGTGCAGTTTTGGGCTCCACAATGTAAGCAGGATATAAAAATATCAGAATATGTCCAAAGGAGGGCAACAAAGATGGTGAAAGGACTGGACGGCAAGACTTAGGAGGAGCAGCTGAGGATACTAGGTTTGTTCAGCTTAGAGAAGAAGAGACCAAGGAGTGACCTCATTGCTGCTCAGGTAGCTTCCTCATGAGGGGGAATGGCGAGGGAGGTGCTGGTCTCCCCTCTCTGGTGATAGGCTGCAAGGGAATGGCTTAAAGCTGCGTCAGGGAAAGTTAAGATTGGATGTTAGGAAAAAGTTCTCCATTGAGAGGGTAGTCATGCACTGGAACAAGCTCCTCAGGGAAGTGGTCATGGCCCCAAGCCAGCTGGTGTTCATGAAGTGTTTGGACAATGCTCTAGATACATGGTTTAACTTTTAGGTTGTCCTGCGTGGAGTCTGAAGTTGGACTCGATGATCCTTGTGTGGGTCCCTTCCAACTTGGGATATTCTGTGGTTCTGTGATTCTGTTGTAATTACTCATTTTAAAAACCCTAAAAGCAATCTGAAAATAAGAGAATAAAATATGTTGGAGGAAAGATCAAATGTTTATTGGATAAATGTCTTCATCCAATAAGACTGTAAATCTAGAACAAGTCACATGCGGGTGGAAATCTCTGTCAGCGCAGAGCTCTATTTGCTCTGTTGATTTGGGGGATGTTGTCCAGCATCCCGCTTCTGTGTCATGGTTTCAGGTTCTCTTTTAGCTCTCCTTGACAGAACAGCTTTTGCAGAGAAATGTGCTGTAGAAATGTTTAACAACATTGGTAGCATTTTTCGGGAAGGCTATGTATAGATTTCAAGTGTCTCTTGGTAGGTTGCTGGTAAGGCCTAGGAAGGGATGCTGTAAGCAAGCTAAAAATACTCCGATTTGTTTTAGAATTCATGTCTTGGAATAGATCCATGCTTCCTTTTTTTCATCTTTCTGCAGCTGATACCTGGTGTCACCCTGAGAGATCACTTGGACTCGCCAATCATTCCATTTACTTCTTTTTATATATATGTGTGTGTGTACACAAATGTATGTATGTATAATGTATATAAAAAACCCTGGAATGTCAAGTGTCTTAATGACACTGGTCTGTAATGTGTCAGATTTAAATAAATAAGTAAATAAATTGTTCCTTCCTCACTGGGCAGTTATATAAGCAACACAGACCAAGATAACTTCAGATAAAATACTGTTCTTCATTCATTTTGAGGGGGACCAGTTGTGCATGTGGCTTTGAGGTTTACAAATGACCCAGTGAGAATGAATGATTTGTGGCCTATTATAATAGCGTGATTTTAGATGTTATTTATAGGATAGAGAAATAATAATACAAATAATACATAAACATATAAATAAATATAATAATGCTGTGAAATATATATAGGGAGGATTGTTAAAAACTGATCCCAGACATTTTTATTTTTATTGCAGAAATGTGCAATAGATACAAAAAATGCTCTCCTGTCCACACGTGAAACCAGAGTGCTTTCCAGTGGTGTGATTTTTGTGATGAGATGTGCAGGAGTTTTCTTGCAGGGGGAGGGAGTGTGGGGGATGTGATATTTCTGTACTTAATATTAAAATTTGTGGTTGTATTGAGAGGTGAAGGGTTTTTTTGGTGGGGGGAGAAGGTTTGGTATCTGAAGAGGGAGTGACAGAGGGATCTGAGACGTAATTTTTTTTTTTTTTAATTAAAATTAAAATTTCATTTTTATAGCTTCATCCTGAACAATAGTGTCTCCATGTAGAGCACAGGATAATGATGTATAAATTTCAGTATTTAACTAAAATTATTTCATCCAAAGCAAAAGCTTGCTCCATTGTCTTAGTTCTATGTTTGTAAAGCAGTGCTTGTACTTATCCTTCAGATAAGTATTAGTGAATATTTCGCAATTCTAAAGGACTAATAACATTAATACAGGTTCTCTTAAAAGGATACATACTAGGAAAACAAAATAAGCCTTAGTACTCTGATATTTATTATGAAAGTAAATTATATTGAAACCCCTTTAAATGCTGCTTTTGAGTCTTTATGCAATAGCTCAAGAGAAGGAATAACTTCATTGTGTTGGTTATAGAAAACTGGTTGACTACAAATTTTTATTAGGATAAGTAATTTTTTTCAGAATACATCATGTAAGAGTGTTTTCTTTGTAAATAGTGTGTGGAGTAGTGGAATGGATGAATTTGAATAATAATTGTTCTTCCACTTTTCTCAGCAGAATCATTCAGTTACGGAGCCATGCATTGAACTTTTTTTATGATATGCATAAATATTTACCAGGGAGAGCTGGAAAAGATCTGCTAGGACCCCGAGTCTGTCCTCCTGCCAGGAGAGGGCTGTTCTCCACGCCATATGTTCTGACATGTTGTCAACTGTTTGTGTACATTATGCAGCAGTTGCTAAACAGTTGGTACTGTTTTCCTTTAAGAATGTGCCACTAGGATCAGGACTGCACTGCATACCCTATAAAAAAATAGAAAAAAAAATTCCCCCACACCCTCCCAAATGTAAATTCAGCTTGTTCAGCAGCAGGCTGAAGCCTGGCATTGTTTGCTATCGGAAGTGTGAGCTAAAGGGACAGACATTCCCCCTGCTCAGCAGGAGCGCAGAGCTACGTTTTGCCCTTGTTGCATTATTAATGGCACAATGTTTTTATGTTGCAGATGGCTAAGAGCTAGCAAGGCATATTCAAGACCATGATGGCTCAGTTTCCCACAGCCATGAATGGTGAGTAGCTCGGGTCGGTTTGTTTAGGTAGGGGTGGGAGCATTTGTCTTTTTTTTTTTTTTTTTTATTTTTTTTTTTAAGTACCTGCAGCAGTGTTATGGTCAGTTTGCTGCAGATTGCTTCCTATAGACTAACTTGTACTGTAAAACTGGGAGGAATTCAGCAGAAGCATTACTGCAGTGTACTTTGGAGTACAGATACACCTGGAGCATCTGGTAATCTCAGATCATTTAAAGGGTTGAGGAATGTGTGACTTGTAGCATGAATAGGGGGGGGGACGTTTTTTTTTTTTTTTTTTTTTTTTAATGCTGATTCTAGTACCTGCAGCAGTGTTATGGTCAGTTTGCTGCAGATTGCTTCCTATAGACTAACTTGTACTGTAAAACTGGGAGGAATTCAGCAGAAGCATTACTGCAGTGTACTTTGGAGTACAGATACACCTGGAGCATCTGGTAATCTCAGATCATTTAAAGGGTTGAGGAATGTGTGACTTGTAGCATGAATACTGCCTGACTTCAAGTGGGGAATATGTTAAGTAATAGTTGATTAAACTTGCATACCTTTTCTGTTACATAATTCAGCACAAAATGTGTTTCATTATAATATGTTATGCTATTTATTTTAAACCAAAATACTTGAATGTGTTAAGCAATTTGCTACATTGATAAAAATAATCAGTCTTTCTCAAAAAAAAATATTGAGGATTTTCCTCTTGATTCCGTGCCCCATCTACTATAGAAACTTTTGGATTTGTTTCTTGGTGATTTTCTTTCGAAGACACATGAGAGTTGAAACCTTAAAATTGTTTGTGCGTGTATGTGTGTGTTGGAGTTCTTTATTTCTAGAGCAAGCTTATTTGTGAAGACACAATTTGCAAATATCTGCTGAGAAATTTGATGCTTACATATTGTTGTTTACAGAGCTGGCCAAAATGAAAAGACAAGTATAGGAACAATGCTTTGCACTTCAGATATTCCGGACAGGGAGTATTTCTCCCAATAAAGATAGGGAAATAGATACAAGAAAAAGTTTTTCTTATCTCGTTTATCTGTGAAGGTTACTGCAGGACTGGGAGGTCTTTAACTAATTTAGAAAATCGTCACTGCTGAGATAAATTGGGTGAGTAAGGGGAAGTGGTTTTTTGCAAAGAACAACATTCAGATTTCAGATTAAACCTCTGTTTTACACATCTGTTTCACATGTGCATAAAACATTGTGTGAAAAAATGATCGGTGTGATCAGCACCTTTTTTTTTTTATACAGTTAGCTGCAGTTTGTTCCAGACTCTGTTTCACAGACTTAACAATAAAAGAGAAGTAAAAAGGAATCAATGTATTATATATAATAGGGAAAAACCTAAATACCAGATTTTTTCCCCACTTTCTTGGACATAATGAAAAAGCATTTTTTTTTAATTGCCACATGCTTTTTGCTCCTCAATTTAAAATAAACAAACAGAAGCTCACTTCAGGGAGGATACAGATTTATGTTCTTGGCTGTGTCCATGGTTGATTTATGCATAAAATACTTGGTGTCTTCTTGGTTTGGCTTTTTACTCCTTGGTTCTGTTGGAGGATTGCAAGTGTATTGACAGCACTGAGCATGTACATGACTTGATCTCAGAAGTCTTAGTTTGGGAGAGCGATCCTTTCCTTGGTCTGAAATCCCTTGGGCAGTACTGTCCGCCACTCTCAAAAGGAATGGTGCCACAAGGTGCAGCCTTTCCCCTCGCAGAATTTTACTGTGTTGAAAAACATAGTAAGAGAACGCGAGTAAGAGACATACCAGGCAATAGTTAAACTATTACTCCTCACAGACTTTTTGAATGACTGTGTGTAGTTTTGCAGTCATATTTCTTATCAGAACTGATTAAATTTCAAACAAGTCAGGTGGGGAAAAAAGAGTAGTTCTAATGTGATTTCTGGATAAATACTGAGCAACCTTTGCTGTTGAAATTGTTCTTCTCTAATCTGTGTTCCTCTTCCCTGCTACTCACTACCACTGTTGTTTGCATTCAAAGTAGATCACCTGCGTTTACCACTCATTGCTCAGTGGAAACCTCTGATTATGTTGTTAGACCTTGGAAGTGACTTCAAGCATGAGATGAAGAATGAGGTTCTGTGTGAGGCAACTAAACCATTAGGCATTGCTGCAGCCTGAGAGCACTGGCTGCCTGCCACACCTCTGTATTAGTAGACCGTTGACCCTTTCCTTTTGTATCCTACCAGGGGAAAATGGTGTTTTTCTTCTGGGGAAAAAAACTCTTATTCTTATCAAGGTACAATATACTTAGCTTTTCGTTCATTAGTAGTATAAGGCATGAAGTAGTTTCTGTTTCAGGATTATTTTTGTCATTCAGTGTTACAGAAAAGTGAGTGGATAGCGTGGAGCGGATGTGTGTACAAGTGTGTGATTATATGACACAGGGTGACGACGAGTTTGGGAACTGCAGGGTTCAAATGACAAAGCACGATACTCGGTCTCAAACAAATACAAGTAGAAGGTGCTACAACGCTATTTACCAACGTAAGCAGAGAAAGGGAAGTCTGTGCAGGACCTCAAGAAGGAAGGGTAACTGAGTCGTGTGCTTAAGTTCCAGTTGAGAGACTCAACTTCATTGAGGGCACCTTGAGCTGTTACTCAGGTGCTCCCAAGACTGTTCAGCCTCAGCATGTGGCTGATGGCCAAACCATGTGTTACACTGAGAACTGGCATATTCTTTTTTAATTATGTGGCCACATGTGAACTTCAGCTTGTTGACGCGTTGTGTGCTCTAGGGGCACATGCTCTTGCTAGACTGCTTACCTTTCTTCTCTAAAGGCATGAAAGGACACAGTGAACAGAAAGGAGTTCCCTTTGACTCTCCATTTCTGTCCGAGGTGACCTTTGTGGATGCCTTACTAACAGGCCGGAAATTCAAAGAGGAGAAGCAGGACTTAAAGAGCGCCTGTTGATTTTTCTGGAACTCGGGGCAGACCTGCCAGTTTTGACAAATTTATCTCCCTTGCAAAATGTAAAGGTTGTGATGACATTTTATATGAACAGGCAAGGCTGAGTAGCATGTTTCTTCTTATGTAGAAAGGCTGCCAATTACAAAATATACATACCTACATACATACAGAGGGATAACAGACACTTATCTCTGTGGAGTCCAGTTCTATCAAAGAGCCGCTCCAGGCATGTCCATCTCCCCAGTCTGCAAACGAGATCAAGGATTCCCTGCTGAGGATTTAGTTTTATCCTGTAACTGTCTGAATATTGATCATTATCTCTGTGAAAATGATAAAACAAACCCAGTTTCTGGTAGTTTATTCTCCTTACGTACAGTTCTCCATCTGGCCAAGGCTTTCTTAGGAATTCATCCCAAGTCTTGCAAAAGCTTTTAGAAATGGCATTTAGTTACAGTAAATAACAAATACCTTCAACAATTGTATTTCTAAAGGAATTAATATACTAACTACAAACAACAGTTAAAAAGATAAAGGCTTTAATAGTTTAAAATGCACTTCCACTTCATTTGTCTCTGTGAGTGCTGTCTTCATCACAGAGCAGGAAGAAGGAGGCTTCACTGCCACTGCTGCCTTTACAGCTGGAGAGCAGTTGCAAGATGCTGCTGTTCTCCTAACTCCCCTTCTTCTGTCGGCTAGATTTTTTCATGGTTTAATATCCATGCTGATGCTGGATCTTGGTTTGGGGAGATTTAATCTTGACGGTCCAGCCGGAACAAGGAAAGCAGTATTTGCCGATCAGTATCTTTCACATTGTTTCCTTAAGTACCGTTGGAATTTTTGGGCTGTGCTTTTTTTTGTTTATGTTTTTGTTTGTCCTTCCTCTTCCCCCTACCACCTGTTTCCTTTTGATATAATTTTCTGTGGTCCAGCAGGAAAATACCTCTGATAAACTGAGGTGCAAAAAGTAATACTCATAACTCCTTTCACATGCTTCTCAACCTTCATAAGTCAAACTGGATTTTATTCTGCTGTGAAGAGAATTGAGTTTTGTGTCCCCACACTTAGGTGTGTTGGAGACTAGGGTAGACATGAATGGGTTGAGTGAGGTCCTGGTTCCACTGATGTCAAGGGTAAAACGCTCACTGATGCTAAGTTCTGCTGCATCTTCTCTATTAAAAAAAGTCTGTCTCAAGATCCATGGTCTGAATTTTTTTGAATTAGGAGGAACCCTGGTCATCACAGTTCAATTAAAAACTACTTGAATGCAACCTGACTCTTAACCTTGTGTGCACTGTAGATATGGAAACTGCAGAGTTGGATATCAACAAGTGTAGATAAAGATACTAAGCTGAACTAGACCTTGCAAAAAAAAAAAAAAAACCCAAACAGAACTTGTTCTCCCATCTAAAAGAAGGAAAAGGAAAGAAATTCTAAGACAAGGACAAATATTTTTTGTGTCCTTACTTATAAATTAATCTTTCCTCTCACTTTTCAGTGAGGGCAGTGGAGTCAGTTGATATGGAGTGGAATTCATATGCTCAAGTCAGAGGGGCGTGTATCTTCCACTGTCACACCCTGCAAAAAATTGGATTTCCAATTGTGTGTGCCATATTATATGGCTTCTTTAATCCTAACAAGTCAGAAATAGTGCTACAGGATTGCGGAATACAAAGTGTCTTACTCATGTTTAATTATAAGGATAATATGATTCACACAGAAGATGTAAGAGGAAATCTTGGAAGGAAAAAATAATTAGACATGGAGGTAAATGTTAAATGGAATAAAAGGAACTAAGTTTTAACAAAGGAAGGTTGCACCTTATGCCTTCTTCAGTAACTGAATTTTGTAGACAGTGTAACACATCCCACGTTTGGACTTCATTAGAAAAATAACTGGCTAAAAGGGAGAGAAAATGCAAATTTTAAAGTAGGATATTGTAATAATCCATTCTTCATGGATTTTTATCTTGAGACCAGTCTTAGTTGTTATTAATTATGGCGACATCATCAGTAAAAAACAAATGATGCTGGTTAAATTGGTTGATGACAC